AAAAACACTACTACACAAATGTTTACTATTTATAATAGCCAAAAGGTCAAAATGACCTAAATGTCCATCCATAGATGATCCATACAATGAAATCATTTAGCCCTAAAAAACAATTAGGTACTGATATATGCCACAATGTTTCTTCCAAAACATTATGCTAAGAGAAAGAAGCCAGATACCAAGTTCACATATTAGATAATTCTATCTATTTACATGAAATATCCAAAATACATGTATTCATAGAGACACAATGCCCAGCTATTGTTTGGTTGCAGCCATCATTGTTGTCTGGCGGGCCACGGGCTGGATTTGAACCCACCAGCTCAGGTGTATGTGGCTGGAGCCTTAGCAACTTGAGCCACGGGCACCGAGCCTATAATAGTTTATTTTATGTTATGTAAATTTCATTTTGCTAAGAATATAAATATCCCCTCCTTCCCCCGCCCCCCCAAAAAATGCAGTTCAAGAACAGGCATGCTTGTCTTTTTTTTTTTTTGCAGTTTTTGGTGGGGCTGGGTTTGAACCTACCACCTCCAGCATATGGGGCCTATGCCCTACTATTCCCTTGAGCCACAGGCACCACCCAATGCTTGTCTATTTTTAACGCAAAATCCTAAAATTGTTTTCCTAGAGATTTCTTTTTTTTTTTTTTTCTGAGACAGAGTCTCACTCTGTTGCCCTGGGTAGAGCACCATGGTGTCATCAGAGCTTACAGAAACCTCAAACTCTTGAGCTCAAACAATCTTCTTGCCTAGCCTCCCAAGTAGATGGGTCTACAGGCACCCGCCACAATGCTACACTAGATTTAGATTTTCTTTTTTTTTTAGAGACAGAGTCTCACTTTGTGGCCCTCAGTAGAGTGCAGTGGCATCACAGCTCACAGCAACCTCCAGCTCTTGGGCTGAGGCGATTCTCTTGCCTGAGCCTCCCGAGGAGCTGGGACTACAGGTGCCTGCCACAATGCCCGGTATTTTTTGTTGCAGTTTGCCGGGGCCAGGTTTGAACTTGCCACCCTTGGTATATGGGGCTGGCACCCTACTCATTGAGCGACAGGCACTGCCTTAGATTTTCTACTTTAGGTAGATAAAAGTTCTCACACTTGCTCAGGCTGGTCTGGAACTCCTGAGCTCATGCAATCCACTTGCCTTGGCCTCCCAAGGTGCTAGGATTACTGGCATGACCCGCCATACCCAGACCCCAAAATTTCTTTATATATCTGATTATCTTTTCTTCAGTTACATAAGATGTAACTGACAAATCTATCACTCCCTTTCCTTTAAAATCCTCATTTGCATATGGCTTAGCTGTCCCCTACCCTGTCCTCATTACCCTCTATCAATCCTTCACTCTGCCCTGAAGAACCCCTGTTTTACTGTGAGTTAGCTCCCAGTTAACTTGCTCCCCTTTCTGTGTTCCTCAGCTTTATGATTCTGAAATAATCTTCTTCTATCTCCCTCATCCAATAAATTACCAACTTACGTCCACATTCGTTTCTCTCAAATCCATTTCCTTCTTGCTATACCTACTAACATTGCCTAGCTTAATTCTGTCCCCATCACTTTTGGTCCAGAACACTACAATAGAAAGCCTACTCCCCATCCCATCTTGAAAACTGCGAACTCTACAATTCAGCCTCTGCAGTCACTAGAATTCTTTCTACTTCATAAAATAAAAATGTGAATGTTACCCATTTAAAATCCATTAGATTTTATTTCAGTCCCTTAAGACTATCTTTCCTTTCCAAGACCCAACATGCATACAATAAAGTTTTCATAAATGAACCTCCTTTTTCACTAAACCTGCTTTTTTGCTAACAATATCATGTAACTACTAACCCTTTTTTGAGGAAACTTTATATTCAACCAGCTCTCCTCCTGTTAAACAAAATGAGAATGGCCACACCAGCCATATCACCACTCCCTCTCCAGTGCCACACCATGTCCATCAGCTATTTTCATTCTATTTCCCCTTTAGGTCCATATCATTAGTTAAATCAAGCTCTCCAACATCTCATCACCATCATTTACCATAGTCACGACACAGTTCCAATTTCTTCAATGAATTTGGCACTAGTTCATGTTTTTCCAACCTATCCACATTCTGCCATCAATTTTAGCATCTCTGCAAATTCTTTAGTGCACAGTAGAAAGCCACAGAGAGAAAGGTAACAAACTTCAATTTACTAAGCTTTCTTTTCAGTATGTTAAATCAGAAACAATATGATACCTAAACAGAAATATCCAGTAAAGTATACAAGGGGAACTTGAAATCAACAAAATAGTTAAGAAAAGGAAATGCCAATTTGATGATCATAAATACAAAATGATTAAAACTAGGTATGGTCTCAGGAAAGGCAATGTAGAAAAAGAACAGGCTAAATGATTATTATGGCCTTCTATGTTATGCCTAACCCTGGATCATTTTGTTTCTGTCCTCTTGCTCCAAGCTGCCAATAATTACTGAATAAAGTTATAGAATCCTTCAAAGTGAATTCACAAAAAGTTCATATTACTTTAATTTTGATTAAATACAACTTCTAAACAACCCTTTATTCTCTTATTGTTGATTTTTTAGCATGCAATGATTTCTAACTACCAAGTTTCAGACTCCTAGGGGAGCTGCAAAATTATCTACCTCAGTGGGTACCTAGAAGCATGCATTATATAGACTATTCCCCATATATATGAATTAACACTTTTTAAATATGCAGTCAATGTTGTGTTTAATCAAAATACGAAGTCATATAAGAGAGTACTGAATAGCAGCTTTTCCTAATATGCATTTTCTCAATAAAAACTGAAACTATCACTATCCTCATGGGAAGGTACCACAAATTGTTTTGAATTTATAGAGGTTGTCATCTTTAAAATATTCGTAACCACTGCCTGAAAACTATTCCACACAGCACTTAAATATCTTTTTCACACTCTAAGCTTCCAATTGTCCTCTGCCGTCTCCCACTTCTTTTTTTTTTTTTTTTTTTTTGAGACAGAGCCTCAAGCTGTCACCCTGGGTAGAGTACTGTGACATTACAGCTCACAGCAACCTCCAACTCCTGGGCTCAAGCGAGTCTCCTGCCTCTGCCTCCCAAGTAGCTGGGACCACAGGCGCCCGCCACAACGCCCGGCTATTTTTTGGTTGCAGCCATCATTGTTGTTTGGCGGGTCCGGGCTGGGGATTCGAACCCGCCACCTTAGGTGTACGTGGCTGGCGCCTTAGCCGGTTGAGCTATAGGCGCTGAGCCCCTTCTCCCACTTCTAATGTCACTTTCCCAAGAAAATCAAACACATCCTCATATGTTCTTTCATCTACCTCAATCCATTTGAATTTATCCTTTCTTCAATACTTCTATAAATATCTGATAATTTAGTGATTACTAATGTAAGACTAATTCAATAACATATACACCTAATCCCATCTCTTACCTGGAACCCCTAACTTGATCTATCAAACAGATTTGGTCTCTCCTTCCTTCAAAAGTTTCTTCCTTTCTCGGGACACTCTATAAGAGGGATTCTAACTAAAAAATTCAAAAATTGTGACCTGGCTGTTTGTACTCTTACAATAACCTGAAATTAAAAAAAAAAAAAGTTTCTTCCTTTCTACCTAAAAACACCATCAGATTTCCCTTACTTGGATAAAACTACTTGATTCTTCTCTATGTTCTATTATTTCTTTTCTTCCTTTTGCTATTAAATTCTCCCAGTTAGCAAACTACACCCTGAGCTAGCCACCTCTTTCTGTAAATAAGATTTTATTGCAACAGCCACCCCATTCTGTTAGACATTATCTAAGACTGCTTTCCCGCAAGAGCAGAACTGTATAATTAAAGAGATCATATGGCCTGGAAGCCTAAGGTATTTCCTACCTGGATCTTTAAAAAAAAAAAAAATACTTTGCCAATCCCCAGAGCTCCAAGTATAATCATTTCCTCTGAGGAAAGTAGGATGCCCATTCAAGATTTGGAGCACTAATAAAGTAGCATGAATAAAAAGCATTTTAGGACTACTAGCTTGGCTCGGCACCCATAGCACAGTGGTTATGATGCCAGCAGGCTGGCAGGTTCAAACCCGGCCAGGCCTGTCAAACAACAAAGGCAACTACAACAAAAAAATAGCCGGGCATTGTGGTGGGCACCTGTAGTCCCAGCTACTTGAAGGCTGAGGCAAGAGAATGGCTTAAACCCAAGAGTTTGAAGTTGCTGTGAGCTGTGACACCACAGCACTCTACCGAGGGCACCATAACGAGACTCTATCTAAAAAAAAAGACTACCAGCTTAACAACACTGTGTACAGCAAATATGAAAAAGACCATTTAGGAAACTATTATAAGAAACTAGTCACTAGGAATAAAAGGAAAGAACTTTTTAAAGAAATAAGCATTAAGACTAGATAACTATATGTGACAGAGAAGACAAAGCTAACACCAAAATTTTAATCCTCTATAATGGAGCTCTCAAAATTTGTATTCTTACCTATAATCTACCCTAGACAGCTCTTCATATTTTCCTATCTTAATGATTGTGGAGTTCTTAAAATCCTATTACTAATTTCGTATCTTCTGCGTACCAGGGATTCCCCATGCTTGCTATCTGGGTAAGTAAATCTGTTAGGAAAAGGCAGCCCTAACAAAGTTGGTCAAATGACAGCATAGGGCCAATGTTAGATGATGGACAGACTACTCACCTGTGGGGGCTGGGCAGGGGGTCCGGGGGTAAGGTAAGATTTCAGGTCTAGAACTGCCTCTAGCCAAATAGGAAGAGGTAGCTATGAATGTGCTTACAGTAGATGCAGTCTTTGGTATTCTGACATATTCTTTCTGATGATCAGACAGACCACCATTAGAGTAGCCACTGGTAAGAGAGTCATATGAGAAAAAGCCAAACAAAAAAACAAAAAGTGAAGAATTTAAATGGAGTAGACCCTACTAGTCTCTTGTCTAGGAAAAGCAGTCTTCCTTATAAAAGATACTATTTTCAAAATGGCCAATATGATACTAACCTTCAGTAACAGAGTCTTCACATCCAACAAGGTTGAGAAGGATATCATCATCTTTATCATCTTCTTCACTTCCCAGCAGCATCCAGCTTTCCACATTATCACTTTCTGAAATAGTGCTCTCTTCCTCTTCACTTGAACTGACCTCTATAATCATGACCTCTCGGATTATACCTGATCTCTCTTTAGGTTTAGTTTTCTCAATATCCCTCTTGCATTCTTTAACGGCCAACTCATTAGATCGAACAGAAGCAGAAGGACCTTGCACCTTGTCTTGTGCCTGCACTCCAATATTCTTTCCTTTATATCTATAAATACTATCTTCATCAGACAAGGTAATAACCTCTGACCCATCTGAAAGCTGGATAACCTCACTATCAGAAAGGACAATTAAATTCTTCTGATTTGGTTTACTAGTTGATAATTCAGAATTCCCACGGTTCTTTTCTTCATATTCTTCCTTCCTGATGATGTTACCAAGATCTTGGGCATAATGAACTTGGCTGTAGAGTTGAAATTCCACCTCACTATCAACACTCAGTTCACTAGATGACTCTTCACGATAAAGGTCATCTTCATATGCTTCTATAGTCTCATAGCCACCAAACATCATGAAGGTCAGTAACAATGCTGTGAAAGAGAAAACCACACAAAGAACACATTATAAAAGTTCTGATCATTCCCATTTAATGTACAATACATAGTATCACCCCTTAGAGCCAACTATGTGAAGGCCATTATTATTTTCAGACATTAATATATTTTTTTCCAGTTCAGCGCCCATAGCACAGTGGTTATGGCGCTGGCCACATACACCAAGGCTGGCAGGTTCAAACCTGGCCTGGGCCAGCTAAGCAACAATGACAACTGCAATAACAACAAGCAAAAAAGTAGCCAGGTGTTGTGGTGGGCGTGTATAGTCCCAGCTACTTGGGAGGCTCAGGCAAGAGAATCGCTTAAGCCCAAGAGTTTGAGGTTGCTGTGCGCTGTGATGCCATAGCACTCTACCAAGGGTGACATAATGAGACTCTGTCTCAAAAAAAAAAAATACATATATATACATATACATCCCCCCCCCCAAGGATTTTTAAATCCTATTATGACCTACTCTAATAATGCTCACCCTTCTCAAATGAGAATTACTACCAACAAACTGAGTTACAGTCATTAATGGAAATACAGTTATACATTACTTAGTAACAAGGATACATTCTGAGAATTGTGTTGTTAAGAGATTTCATCATTGTGTGATCACAGAGCAGACTTACACAAACCTAAATGGTACGGCCCACTTAGACTACATGGTATAACTTATTGCTACTTGGCCACAAACCCACTGAAACACATGGTAAGTACTTGTGTATCTTAAAAAAAAAAAAAAAGTATAGTAAAAACTCAGAATTATAATCTTATGGGACCACTGCCATATATGCAGTCCACTCATGACCAAAACATCATTATGCAGCACATGACTACATCATATTTCACAGGTATTTTAGAAAGAAAGAAGTTTGAAATCCACTTGATGTTTAACACTCATTCTCTAAAATGTTAAAAACTGTAAAACAGGGAGGCACCTGTGGCTCAGTGGGTGGGGTGCCAGCCCCATATACCGAGGGTGATGGGGTCAAACCCGGCCCCGGCTCAATAATAGCTGGGCATTGTGGCAGGCATCTGTAGTCCCAGCTACTCGGGAGGCTGATGCAAGAGAATCACCTAAGCCCAGGAGTTTGAGGTTGCTGTGAGCTGTGACACCACAGTACACTACCGAGAGCAACAGAGTGAGACTCTGTCTCTAAAAAAAAAACAAAAACTGTAAAATGATTTTAAGCATCTCTCACTATTCCACTTATCAACTTTTCCTTGGTTCTAGTTTTCTATCTCATCTTTTTAGGCATACGTTCTCAAACAGGAATATTACTTCAACTATGACTAAAATCCACAATAGGAAACAATTGCCATTATTTACGATTTACGTATAGATGTTTATTCTCAATTAACAAATTAATCTCATGGACTTAATGATCCTTGGCCAAAAGAATACATAAAAATATTTGAAAAAGCTGCTTACTTCTGTGCTATTTACAAAAATGTGTATGAAATACAACCTTAAAAAAGACCTAAAATTGAGGCAAAACTTTCAGCTTTGGGAATAAATGCATAAGGTGAAATACTTTACTTTCCACTGAGCTCCACTATCAAGTTTCAACTCAGCTTAAACATCATTCCTCACCAGACTAAATTAAGTGTCCCTTTTTATGGGCTTCCATAGAACCTTATATTTCAAAACACTCATCACTTTTCTAATTCTTTAAAGTGAATCTCCCAGAAGCACAGATCACAAGCACCAGAAAGACAGAAACTACACCTCCTCTGTTAAAACAGTGGAACACCAAAGCTAAGCAGAGTAACTAGTATTTAGGGGGACATCTACAAATGTTTGTTGCATTTATACATGCATAGGCCAGGCACAGTGGTTCACGCTTATAATCCTAGAACTTTGGAAGGTTGAGGCAGGTGGATTATTTGAGTTCGGGAGTTTAAGACCAGCCTGAATAAGAGCTAGACCCCATCTCTACCAAAAGTAGAAATACTAGCAAGGCATTGTGGCAGGTGACTATAGTCCCACCTACTCGGGAGCTGAGGTTAGAGGATCGCTCAAACCCAGCTTAAGGTTGCTGTGAGCTCAGATGCCATGGCAGTCTACCTAGGGTGACAGAGTATGACACTGTCTTCAGAAAAAAAAAAAAAAAGAATTTATAAATGAATAAATAAATGATTATTATCATCAGGCATTTGTTCTTTTGCCCTGGCACGTCTAATGTCTAGAATTTTCATGAATTTTCATGTGTTTAAAATACAGAAATTATGGCAGGGTGTGGTGGCTCACACCTGTAATTCTAGCATTCTGGGAGGCCAAGGCAGGTGGATTGCCTGAGCTCAGGAGTTAGAGACCAGCCTGAGCAAGAGCAAGACCCCATCTCTAAAAATAGCTGGGCACTGTGACAAGTACTATAATCCCAGTTCCTTGGAAGGCTGAGGCAAGAGAATTGCTTGAGCCCAAAAGTTGGAGGTTGCTGGGAGCTATGATGCTACAGCACTCTACCAACAGTGACAAAGTAAGACTGTCTCCAAAAAAAATAAAATTAAAATCAAAATAAATACAGAAATCATGACACACACCATGGCTCATGCCTATAATCCTAGTATTCTGGGAGGCCAAGGTGGGAGGACTCTTGGGGGTCGGGAGTTCTAGACCAGCCTGAGCAAGAGCAAGATACCATCTCTACTAAAAACAGAAAAATTTAGGGGGGGTATGGTGGTACATGCCTGTAGTCCCAGCTACTCGGAAGGCTGAGGTAGGATGATCACTTGAGCCCTGGAGTTCTAGGTTGTGGTGAATTATGATCATGCCACTACAATCTAGCCAAAGGAACAGAGCAAGATTCTGTCTCAAAAAAAAAACAAAAAAACAAAAAAACACACACACACCAGAAATTATGATGGGGTAAATTTCTCAGGTGTCTTCAACTATTCCAAAGTCTTAAATTCTCATATCATTCATATCATCAACTAAAAATCTATACAGCAGATGCTTCAAGCAGATACTGATAGAATAGTGGTCAAAATGAGAGCTCTGTAAAAATAAGTCACATTTGTTCAAAAATCAGGGACAGCCTAGAAAGAAAAGTAACAATGCCAATTCATTCTTTCTTCCACTGTTAGCTATAAAGATATAATTTAAAAGACTAGTCATTTTCTTAGTTTCTCAAATCTTCACCCAAAATATCAGGGTATTGTGATGGCAGTTTTTGGTAACAGAACCACTGATCCCAAGAACCAAATGAACAAGAGCCAAAAATGCACTACACTCATGCCAGAATTTTTTGTTGTTCAGAAATAAAGAAAACAACTTTTAATGGCTTTTTTCTTAAAGGTACAATATACTTGTTCCCCTTGTTGCACTGTTCTTCAGGTTGCTATGCTATTCTTGTAATACAAGTTGAATGTGGCTGTCTGAATAATAATGCTGATAGCATTTATCATTTTATATTGAAATGTTAGCCTCAGAGGAATTCAAATAAAAGAAGAACCCTTTCCTTTTTATTTAATAGGTAAATTAATTCTAAAAGAAGTCAAAGGAATTATGCTTCCTTCAAAATCCTCACTGGATCCATCCTGAGGATCCAGTGTGGACTTAAGATAAAACATAATTCCAGAGCAGCACAGAAAAAATTAAAGAGCTAAATTACAGAGTTACAAATTTGTACTACTCTTGGAGCCATCCCAAAGGAAAGGGATTAAGAATAGAGCCATAGGCACACCTGTGAATGTATGCCAAAAATAGACTACAGAACCATAATGAAAACTGACTTCCTTGGTTCTAAGGATTTATCTTTTTCCCTGAAATGTAGAAAAATGAATTTAACAATTTAGCCCCTATGGCCTTTAAGAGGATTTTGTACCTTCCCTCTGTACTTGAAAATTGTGCTCCGTATAACATGTTCTTTTATTTATGTAGTTTATTTGTGCCAGGGTTAAGGTTTGCCTGAAGCTCTTTTGGTTTATATTACTGCTTTAATTACATTCAAATGCATTTAATTTACTTTTTTTAAGTGCACTCAGAGAACTCTCTCTCTGTGTATATGTAGCACATATATATGTATACCACATATATGAACATATACACACACTGACTCAGAAGGCTTTCTCACCTTTTTGATCCTTGTACACAATTCCCAAGCACACTTAACTGGAGAACAAAGTCAGATTATCTCACACAGACTCCTGAATCTACATATGAGGAAACTGAGGTACAAAGAGATTAGGCCTAGCCGAGGTTATGGAGTTGGTTAACAACAAAGCTAGAACTGATTCACATTTCTGACTCTCATTTGAGTTTTCACTATAATTTTAGAATAAATAATTTCAAATTAAGATTTTAAAAAACTTCCTTCATGACTATACTTTCATTGATTCTAACACTTAAATTTATCTCACAAGTATCCATTTTACTTTACAATGGAGTAGAAAACTATGAAAGAGGCATTTTAATTGGAAGAAAAGGTATTCATTTAAATTTGTCAGTTTACCATCCAAGAACCTCCCAAATTGGTACTATTTGGACTATTGATCCCAGGACCAAAAAGGATATTTCCTATATAAGAATTTAAAATATCACGGGAATGAAACTTTTCTAAAGAATTAAAATAGCTTAAACATAAACGAGCTATAGATAATAACACAGAGGCTTTCACCATTCAAAAGAGGGAACAGTATTCATTCACTGAATTTTTCAAACTAGACAATATAAGGCTTATTTTAGCTTCAAAATTTACTTAATATAATCTTTAAAGATCCTTTCTGTCCTAACAGCCTACCTACCAGTCATTCTGGACATTTTGGTCTTATTTCCTTCCAGAGCACTTTTAACTTACATGTTCCTTCTTGATGACACAGGTATCCATCTCAGGCAGATTTAAATTCATTATTTCATTTTTAATCCAAATTTCAATTTTCAATTGAATGTGATCAATATGTAGTTTGTTTTCAACTTAATTTTCTTATATATTGGTGAGCTGCCTTGACAGTGACAGTTGAAACAAAGTATCTCTAGGGTTAAAGTTTCTGTTCGTTCTTCAAACATGACTGCCACTTAGAATCAAATCTGACTGGGATAGAGAAACCAAGTGTGTGAAACAAAAGTCACGAAAGAGAAGACAAAACACAAATCTTGGTGGGAGAAAATTATGGTAAATTTAGTCACCTTAGTCTCAGTTGTTCTTGGACACATACATGCTTTTTATGACAACTAATCCTATCTGGAAACACTTCTTTCATCTTTCCTCAACCTTTTTCCTGCTGCCAGGCACTCCCTCACCCCTGCAGAGATCATATGATCCCCAGCTCCAATTCTTCCTCAGTTTTTTCTCCACCCTGATTCTCTTGAAAACAGCAAGGGTAAACTATCTCCGAAGCATAATACTACCCTAAATATACAGAGTGCAATTAAAAGTCTTTGCATGTGATAGCGTTAAGTATTCAAAGCACAAAGTAAAGAGCTCTTGAAGGGACCTGAAAGAGTCATCAAATCAAACGCTCATTTTAAACCTAAATAAACAGGCTCAGGGAAACTATTTTATTCACTGAGCTAAAAAGGCCCTAAAAGATCACCTAATCCAACCCTGCAATCTGAAACAATCTTAAATTCAACTTAAATTTAAACAAGATATTGCCAGAGTTAACAGCGAGTCAGGGGTGTAGCCTTAGCTAAGCCAGGCCTGCTGACTCCCAGCCACAGTTCTTCCCTTGCTCCGGCAGCTCTGTCCTAAAGTTGAAGGCAAGGGTCGGCTCACAGGATGTGATGGATTAAAGGGAATCTTAGTAAACATGGTCCACGTCTCCTTGTTTTACGTGAGGGAAGGAGCCCGGCTCCCGAAATTTTTCTGGTTTTACAGCTACAGCTGCAGCTACTGCTTCTGACAGAGTTGGCCCAGGACTACTCTCCTCAAAGGCTCCCTCTCGGCGCGGCGGGACCTCCACGTGAAAGATGGAGGAAGAACAGGCAGAAACAGCACCCCACGGAGAACACCAACGCCCAGCCCCTCTTGAACCACGGCCTCGGGCCTTGGGGAGAGGCAGTGAGACGCGGACCCCATCCCGACAGCCGAGCCCTGTAGGGCGGCGCGCGGCTGAGGGGCCATGAGCTGCGCCCGCCACCAGAGAAGGGGCCAGGGACGCAGAGGCCGACGAGGGGGCACGCGCTAGTTCCACCGCCCGAAGAGCGAGGCGGAAGAGTAGGCAGAGGGCCCCCGGCCGCAGGCGGCTCGGGGTCCGTCAACACGTACTCACTGCCGCGGCTGCAACCAGGAAGCACCAACCAGGATCCAAAACGCTTAGAGGGACGGGGAGGGGCGAAGACAAGTGAGGTAAGGAAGCCGCGTCCGCGCAGAACTGGGAGCACAGAAGCCACTTCCGGGGAAAACACGGCCCTAGGCGTCCTCTTTCCGTCCCCGCCCACTCGCTGGGCGTTCTGTGCGCATGCGTAGCAGCTCTTAACCCTTTCTTTTCCTCTCTAACAATCTTGTGGTTTGCCTTCCTTGCTTTGCTTTCCCTTACTTGCACCCCTTCTTTTGAGGATACCTAGGCTGCATCTACGTTAGGGCATACGTTCTTTGAATGAATTGCACGAAAGAGATGCTACTTCCTGGGCAAAAGCAGGGAGAAGTGTGCCTGCGAGAAAAACTACAACTACCATGAAGACCCTGGGCTGGACTCGCCTCCTTTTCAGTTACTCTCCGGAGACGCCCTCCCGGTGACACGTGGCGCTGGAGCAGGCGGGTGGCTAGGGCTGTGGGACAGGCCGCTTAGCTGGCAGACCCCGGAAATATGAGAGGGGGGAAAGGTTTTGTGAGACCGCCTGGCTTTTAGCTTCTCCCGTGCGTTGTGTGACGTTAAGGCTGGTCCACCTTGTGGGTTTAAGTTAGACACAGTTCACACTGGGCGCTTCCGCCTCTCTTTTTGGAATACCGGGCAACAGACTTAACCCTTGTGAACCTGGAGGAGTTGCATTCTGCTAGAGACTGGATGGCATTGTTCTTTGAAGTCTTCTGGAGGCTGCAAGAGTGTGCTGGGAGTTTCTGATTTATGTTCCCCTTGTCACACTTTTTCTTTCTTTTCTTTCTTTCTAGAACCAGCTCCATAATATCTTTATTTTTGAGATAAGGTCTCTGTTACCTGGCCTAAAGTACAGTGGCATTCATCATAGCTCACTACAGCCTCAGGCCCTAGGTTTAAAGTGTCCCGCAGGGAACTTAAACACATGACTCTATAGAGAACTGTGTGCCTGTGCTGCTCAGGCTGGTCTCAAACTCCTGGCCTCCATAAATGCTAAGATTACAGGCGTGAGCCAAGGTACCTGGCCTCAGTCTTAGTAAACCTATCTGTACAACTTTACAAATTACCATCAGTCTAAAAGAAAAACTGAGGCAAGATGAATGTAAGTAGAGAGTTTATTCTTGCCAAGTTTGAGAAGTGCAGCCTCTTGAGTGTAGACCCAGATTGCCCTGAATATATGATCCAATTTACAAGTAAGTTTTGTTTTGTTTTGTTTTTGAGACAGAGTCTCACTATGTCCCCCTCGATAGAGTGCCATGGCGTCATAACTCGCAGCAACCTCCAGCTCTTGGGCTGAGGTGATTCTTTTGCCTCAGCCTCCCTTATAACTGGGATTATAGGCGCCCACCACAACGCCCGGCTATTTTTTTGTTGCAGTTTGGCCAGGGCCGGGTTCAAATCTGCCACCCTTGGTATATGGGGCTGGCACCCTACTCACTGAGCCACAGGTGCCTCCCTATTAATACTTTTTCTTTCTTTTTTTTTTTGGAGGTTTTTTTTGACTGGGGCTGGGTTTGAACCCACCATCTCCAGCATATGGGTCTGGTGCCCTAATCCTTTGAGCCACAGGCACCACCCTTTAATACTTTTTTTATACGTACAACAAACCCTTCATGTTTTCCTGTCATGGAAGGCACACCATTTATACATACACTAAATTTACCAAATTCAGTCCAACTAAACATTTATCTTGCAAATTGTTGAAGATACGTATTCCCTGCTTTTTGTTTTCAAGAGTGCCCAAATCAAGTAAACATTTTGTAGCAAAGAAAATCTTCTATTATAACCTGAATGAGGTATAAGACCTGTGCCAAGTCAGTAGTATTAGTTGATTTATCCAAATATTTATTTTCCTTTTGATGTACTGCATGAAGTTGTTCTGTTAAGTTGAAGGCTAATTCATGCTGCTGAACACTTATTGTTCTCATTCAAACAGGCAGTTGTTTGTACTTTGAAATATGGGCTGTAATCCTAGCACTCTGGGAGGCCAAGGTGAGTGAATGGCCTGAGCTCAGGAGTTCAAGACCAGCCTAAGCAAGAATGAGACTCCATCTCTACTAAAAACAGAAAAAGTAGCTGGATATTGTGGCAGGCACCTGTAGTCCCAGCTACTTGAGAGGCTGAGGCAAGAGGAGTTCTTGGGCTCAAGAGTTTGAGGTATGATGATGGCATTGCACTCTACCCAGGACACAGAGTGAGACTTTGTCTCAAAAAAAAGAGAGGGAAAGAAAATGTTATGGGCATCTAAGCATCTTTCAACTTTGACAGTCCATTTTTTCACAATTTCTACATCACTGAACATCCCTTTTTTCCTGTACATATAAGCTACATTATAAGTTGCATCCGTGGCAGTATTTCCAGGTCTTATTGCTGCTTGAAAGAATCATCTTTGCTTTTGCTTTTCTTTTCTTTTCTTTTTTTTTTTTTGAGGCAGAGGCTTGCACTGGTGTCATAGCTCACAGCAACATCAAACTCTTGCACTCAAGCAATTCTTTTGCCTCAACTTCCCAAGTAGCTGGGACAATAGGCACCCACCACAACGCCCAGCTATTTTTAAAGACAGAGTCTTGGTCTTGCTCAGTCTAGTCTCCAACCTATGAGCTCAGGCCATCCACCAGCCTTGGCCTCTCAGAGTGCTAGGATTATAGGCATGAGCCACGGCATCTGGCCCTTTGCTTTTGTTTTTCATCTTTTAATTTCTATAATACAACCTTTCATGCCTCTCCTTCTAATTTAAAGTATTTGTGGTCCTTATGAATGGCATAATACTGTCGAGCATTGAATTTCTTTAATGTTGAAGTTGCAGTATCATAAAACAAGCAGATCATCTTATCTTTAGCAGAAACAAGATAATATTACAATTCTCAGTCCTCATTTAAAAATCTGTTTTCTTCCTCCAGCATTCTCTTGATCTTCTTTGACATGATGGGGTGTTAGCAGACAGAATTAAAAAAATACTGTTGTGCTGTACAACTATTTACCTCTTCAGAGCCACAGCACCCTTGTCAAAAGCCAATAATAGACTTACATACTTGACTCCCAGAAGTGCTCACCATTCAGCCTCATATGAAGTGACGCCTGTTAGGTTGAGGAAGTTAGAACTAAATTCTGAGTATAGCAGCTGTCAATTTAGCCCTTATCGCTTATTAATGTTCTGATTGTACTGGTTAATCTAAGAGGATTATTTCATTGAAATTTATTTTATTCTTTAGTATTTTAAATATGTTCATTTTTTAAATAAAATAAAAATATAAAAGATGAGCAAAAATGTATTAAAAATAAAAGGATTTGTTCTGTAAAAGTTAGATTCAGTCAAAAGGTCACATGTGGCCTTAAGATTGTAGGTTCCCCACCCGTAGCTATACCATATAGCCTAGGAATGAAACAGGCTATACTATACCAACTGGGTTTGTGTAAGTCCACTCTATGAAGCTGGCATAACAATTAAATGGCCTAATGATGCATTTCTCAGTATATACCCCCATTATGAAACAATGTGTGACTGTATTTCTAATTACTATGCATCATTGTCATACTATTGTTCATGCATTCAACAAAGATTTACTGCTTTCCTATGCTCAAAATGCTCCAGTCAGCCCCTTTAGATTATATCTTAAAGCCTAGAGTCCTTTGAATGGCATAAAAGTCACGTCATGAGCTGACACGTGCCTACCTGTTTACTGCCCTGCTGACTCCTGAGCAGCTGCTAGAACACACCATCACCCCCCACATCTGTGCCTTTGCAGAGGATACTCTCACTGCCTCTAAGTCCTCCCTGCCCTTCTAGCATACATTTACTCACCTTACTCTGCTTACTCGCCTTACCCTGCGTCTTCAGGGAAACCTTCGGACTCAGCCAGACAGAACAGGTATTCCTTTTGCTTTACTGCCTACACCTTGGACAAACCTCCATCAAAGCAATTGTATTTGTCTTGAAGTTGTCTCCTACTGGACTCTGGACTCCCTGAAGGTGGGAGCTTTGACATCTTGTCTTTTATCTTCACCAGCTGACACAGTGCCTGGCAGACAGCAAAGCATTCAATGTATAGGTCCTAGGAAATCAAGAGTCAGATTGGGATCTGCTGGCTGTTAGTTCAGTGGAAAAACCATGTCATGACCACACATAACTGGTGGTGTTCCATGACATTAAGACAGATGTAAGGTGCTGCCGGGGTCCCAAGGATATGGAGATTTCTGACTAAGGGTCAGTGGTTCTCAACCTTTCTAATGCTGCAACGTATTTTCATTGTTAAAAAGAGGTTGTGACCCACAGGTTGAGAACCACTGCTCTACACAGAGAGTTCTCATTTAGAAGACCTTTAGAAATCATGAGATCCAGTCTCTAGTTGTGATGGGGAAACTGAAGCCAAGAAGGAAAAGACTTGCCAAGAGTCACCTAGCCAAGAAAGAGCTGTGTCTATAATCCAAGCCTCTGAGTCTCTCCCCACCTACCTACACACACACACGTAGCATTTCTTTTTCCACTTCATGCTGTCTCTTGAAGTCATGGGCAGCAGCACGTACAAGTGTCCTGAAGCTTCTCTTACAGAGAATGCTCTGGAGCAGCGGTTCTCAACCTGTGGGTCACAACCCCTTTGGACTGTATTAAAGGTTTGCAGCATTAGAAAGGTTGAGAACCACTGCTCTAAAGAGATCATTTAAGAAAGGAAGCACTTGGCTCAGTGC